GCATTCAGCGCAGATTAACCTAACGGTCCCATCTCGAAGCACCGAGAGTTTCGGCGATATTTCGAGCGCTGTAAATTTCCACCCGTCAAATAACGAATTAGAGGTGGGACTACTCTCGAATATTCTCGAACATAATACTTTGGTATATATATATATATATATATATATATATATATATATATATATATATATATATATATATATATATATATATGTAACGAAATTAGGATTTAAGTTTAGTTGATAAGATAGTATCGAACTGTAAAGTTATAAATAAATATATTTATATAAATTCGAACCGCTCGTTTTATTTAAAAACGGTACAGATGTATATATTGCCACTCCTGAAATCGGATTTCCATATTTGAACTAAATTTTACAGTAAGAAGTGGAAACATATATCACACAGACCAAGTTAACTTAACTGATATGGCCACACAGGATATTTTTATGTATATACCAATATAATATAATTGTAAAATTTTGTTAAGATACTGAGAATGTCTGTCTATGCAGGCCATTTGGTATGGGTTTGTTATTTTTGTAGGCTTTAGATCATCCATACAAGTGTACATACTTATCATACATATATGAAGTATTAATAAGTATTGGTAGCATAAAATCATTATCAGTGGCATCACAGCCTCATTATGAGCCAAAGCCTTCCTCAGAACAATCCTTCCATTCGCCCCTGTCTCTGGCAACTCTTCTCCAGGCTACAACTCAAATATATTTAAAATTGTTCTCTAAGTTGTCTTAATACCTAAGTCTGAGTCTTCCTCTGGCTAATTGTCCAATCGGCCCTCTTCAGTAAAAACTTTTCTGACTGTTGCACATTCCTCTCCTATCACATGTCCCATCCATCTAAGCAGTACTATCTTAATGAATTGTATGTCAGGTTCACAAAACTTCTATACATCTCAAAAGATTTGGTCCATTCTTAATGTATTAAACTGGAAGCTGCACTGATGTCCTTTCCCTATTGATTCAGCATAGAGGAGCATTATTTTGTACAATATGTTGGACAGTACTTTATATACTATAATAAGTAGGGTGCTGCCTCTATTATTATCACACACCATCATACCTCCCTTTTTGTGAAGTGGACACAGATTGACTAATTTCCAATATGCAGGTGTTTCTGTTGCCAGATTTCAGTTAATAATATAATGCATATAGTGTCACTGTCTTTGTATTTCTTTCTCACTTCTGCTCTATATATAGTTGTTTCTCAATTAACATTTTCCTTATTTAATAGTACAGAGTACACCTCTACACCATAATTTCCTTCATTATATTTACTTAACTTGCAAAAATGGTTGAGATTTTCATTTGCTATCTTTTAGCTCATAAATCAACAAAACGTCATTATATAAGGAAAGTATTGTTTACAAAATATCTTTTAATTCAACCATACTTCACACATCTGCCTTTCAGAAATCTTCATTTTGTATAATATGTCAGGTTTACCTGTCATCTCGTTAATACAAAAAACAATAAATCATCCCAAAAATTTTAGGCCTAAGTAATCTAGTTTAAAATTCCCTTTGTGGTTATGAAGAAACAATTCGAGCCATATACCTGTATTTTTTGTTGTCATATTTTTAATAAAAGGTTCCTTAATAGTGGACTATTAAAAATGTCTTATTACTTCAAATTTCAAACTAGAAAGGTAATAAAAATAGGTCCTTAATTTTGCCCCTTTAAGATTTCCTATAAATTGCTGTAACTTGCAGTAACCTGATTATTGTCATATTCTCACACAACATTAGCCGACATTAGCTATAATATAGAAATAAGTTAGGATGACCACATATTTTTGTACTATATGTACATTAATTACTAGTAATTATTTCACTTTCACCACATATTAACACATTCACTGCCTACGACTATAGTAAAGTCGCAATAGCGATGCCGGTTATAATAAAATCAAAAAATGTTGTTTAACTACTATAAAAACACTGTTTATTATTATACTTTATTAAAAAATATAAGTTTTCGGTATATAAGAAAAAACACCTATAGGTGTAGACGGTTCTTCTAATGAAAATTTCATTGCCAGTGCCAATTACACCTATAGGTGATTTTGAATTTATACGAACATGTATTATTCTTTATGGAAAATAAAAAAACATTCAACGCAAAATCCTGGTGAACCATCACAGGCATTACACACATACATAGTTGCTGTTCTCTTCTTTTGAGTTCTACAAACTTTACACTCTTTTCTTGCTACTCTTCATCTTCTTCAATGTTTGATCAAATGCTTTATATTCTTCCTCAGTAATTTTATCAATTTTTTGTAATTCGTGTAGGGTTGCAGTAGCCTTGGGGTCAACTTTTGGTGGTAACAGTGATTCTAAAAGGGCTAATCTAAAATCGTACATGTTCTTCTTTGTTTGCCCTGAGTACTTGTTGAACAGAATAGCCGAATTTATTACACTCATTTGTAATATATGGACAAATATTTTTTTATACCAGCGCAATGTTTTTCGGATACATGGATAGTATGACTGCATTTGATCATGCTGGTCAATGCCTGAAATGTATTTATTATAATTAATAATTGCGAAAGGTTTCAATGTTACCTGGATTCTTGTATTTCGAGATTCAGTAATTTCGTTTCCGTATTCACTCGTTATATACATCACATCGTGTTTGGATCTCCATTTACCAATGTGCACGCCATTACGAAATAAGGACTTATTCTCTCCTGGTTTAAGTTTTACTTGCTGAATAACTCGTGGATTACTTTTTCTTTTTATATTTAAGGTCCCAGTGCAGTAAGTCTCTTTTTCTAAAAAGTCTGAAGCTAACTCATAGCTGCTATAATAATGATCCATATAAACCGAATGTCCCTGGTGTAGCCTTTCTTGTAACAAATATTTAACTACTATTGAGGTATGACCAGTTCCGCCCAATGCATCCTTTGATCCACTATAAATTGTAAATTTTTGGACTAATCCGTTGGGTTCTGTTAGCATGTAAAGTTTCACCCCATATTTATGTTTCGTATTTTTAATATACTGGCTGAAGATTAAATGTCCTCGCCATAACACCATGGACTCATCAAGAGAAAATTGCTTTCCAGGGTTATAAATAGCTTGCATTTTATTATTGAAGTGCTTCATGATGGGGCGTACTCTTGCTAAACGATCTTTGTTATTTTCTCCAACAGGTAAAATATCAGTAAAAATCTATTTTTGGACATATACTCGCCAAAACAACTTCTGTAGAATCGATGTGCCAGTAGTCGGTTAATCTAGAATATTGAACTGTCCCTGTAAGCAGCAGCAAGCCAATAAATGTCCTCAATTCATCAACTGTCAGATGTTTCCAGTATGTAATACGGGATTGTTCATGTGTGTTCTCCAAAAAAAAAGATTGACGGCATACTCGTTAATTTGCTCTACAATTAAATTTATTATTTCTTGATCAAAAAATAAATTAAAAAAGTCAACGGGATGTTTTCCAATCATTTTTGGTACAAATGATTGAGTTCCCACAAACTTAATTTTCTTTAGAGCTCCTTTATCACTCCACGTCGTGTTTTGATCATTGGACAATTGGACATATTTGTTGCTGTAATTGCGTTCTGTATATCATTAATTCCATGCTCGTCACTAGTATCACTCGCACTGTCTGTTGTATGTCCTTCATCACTGTGTACAGAAAAGTTATCATCACTTTCATTGTCGTCAGACTCTAAAATATGTCGCATCTCTTCTACCGTTAGTGGACGAGTCAGCTCCCTATTTGTTAATTTTATTTTAATTCCAGAAGGTCCCGGTTGACTTTCCATTTTAAAATTACCACTATTTAACAATAAAACACAACAAACTTGTCAAAAATAACAAAATAATTGTTTACCTGACATTTATCTAATGAAATATAATCAAATACTTATAAACACTGTCAAAATGACGTCACCTGCATTCAATCATTCAAAGTCGAAATTCCATGACTTACTGCAAGCAACCAACATTACACATAAATAATATAGGTTTCAGTCGACATGCCTTATAGCTATTAAAATGTTTACTTAAAGTGCCAGTCGCACAAGAGTGAGATTGAATTGAATGTATATTAATCACCCAGGTGTAATCGGCAATGAATGTGTTAAGACATAGCAAAGTAGTCCTGCTGAAGAGACATTCACAACACATATGTTTCAAAATGGTATATCTGTCATTTTTAAAAAGTTCAGCAGGGAGATGAACCTCCTCCTCCTCCTCAGTCGTTTCCTCATTGCTGAGTGTCGTGATTCCCTATAATACGAGCCACTATCTCTTTCCATCGGCTTCTGTCCTGAGCTTCCCTCATGGATTCTGAAAATGTTTTTCCACTGGCTTTCTGTACCTGATCCGTCCATCGAATAGGTGAGCGACCTCTACTTCTGCGCCCTTCAACGTTTCCCGAAATTATAAGTCTCTCAAGATTATCATCACTTCTTCTTGCAATATGGCCGAAAAATTTTAAGACGGTGGAGAGGCAAATAGACGAAAGTCGAGTCTGAATATTAAGATGAACCAGGGAAGTGTAAAAGTAGTGAATGAGTAATTATTTCTAAATATCAATTGATATTTGAAATTGCATGCCACTGAGTTACAAAATGGATTTAAGTTAGATTTGATGATAGACTTCACCTCTCAGTAGCCTAGTTTGTGCTATAGGTACATAGGGAAAGTTATTTGTGTGTGTAAATTATGTGAGTTTAATAAGTATAGGACGAGGTTAATTATTGCTTTTGTTGATTGTTTGCCTGACACACTTTTAGGATAGAGTTATGTATGTGTGAATAGTATGTTCTTTTAAGTCTTGGGTAAATTATATAGCTTGTATTTGCACATTTTGTTCATTGATTTCTAGAGAGAAGATAGTCTTATTTGTTTGATCAGCTTCAAAGAGATGTAAATAAACAGTTAATTCCTTCCTCTCCCAATTATCGCAAAAAAATATATTATATAAATATATGTATAATTAATACAGTAGTGTACCTTTTTCTTTTTATGTTTATGCGACTTGTCCTTGTGTTCGACTTTGACGACTTCACCTTTAGGAAGTTCTTTTATCTTAGCCTGCTGTATGGGTTTACTGCTAAAAACATCATCTATATTTATTGGTTTTAATTTTGTTGGTTCTTTAGCTGGTTTTTTGACCTTCTCATCTTCGGAATCTGAACTCAATAGTACAGTATGGGGCTTTCTTTTACTAGAGAACGATTTTACTTTACTTGGTTCCGGTGTAGATTCAATCACGTCTTCTTCATCAGAGTCTATTAAACGTTTGGATTTTTTCTTTTGATCTACCGCTTTGGATGGTGTTGAATTGTTTTTTGAAACTGGGGTGAAGTATGATCTGATATCCTAAAACGTATATTACAGACGTAAAATGATTATATTATATTTTCAATTAAATACCTTTGGCATTATGAATTGTTTATTTTCCGGTAAAGAGTAAATTGAGTAAAGCTAGTGAAACTGAATTGTGTACATATCTACCGCGCACTTTTTGACAATAACTGTCAGTTTTGATTATTTTCTTCTGTCTTCACATACTTTTTTTCTTCTTCTTTTTTGACCTATCATTTCACTTGATTTCACAATTTTCACATATATTCAGCTTTTTTAACTTCAAATATTAAAATATGATCCAATGCTTAGAAGTTAATACTATTTTTTATTATTTCTGATAATTAATCACAGTTTACTATTCTGTTGTTTAGCTAAATCAAAGTTTTAGGTATATGACAGTCAAACATTAACTTATTATTCTGTGACATAGGTAAATAGGTATATGATTAGTCAACAGAGTTGCCAGATTGGGGTATTTCCCCCCATTCTTGGGGTAATTTCAAAGCGTCTGGGGGAATTTTATGAGCTAAAACGGATGGGGGATTTTTTGGGGGAAAAATTGTGGAGGATTTTAGGTGGTCAGTGGTCATAAATTTGCCAATGTACATAAAACTGGAAAAAAAGGCTATTCTATTCATATCTGTTTTTTTCGGTAGATACCTCTAAGGCACCCAAAAAATGTACTTGTCTAAATATTTTACAAAAATGTAGCCCTTTAGTTTTGATATATAGATCATTTTGTTTTAATAGACCACCGTCGTGTGGTCATGTATGTAAGTTTTAGAAATATATACTTCCTTATATCGGCTGTGGATTAAAGTGACGTTATATACAGAATATAAATAAAACGGAAGGCCAAGAAATTTGGAAATTAATGAGTTAATACAAATGGGATTCACTGCCTCGTCGTTCCAATTCTACTCATAATCAATAACGTCCGATTTTCTAATCATGTTTTTTAAATTTAATTTTAATTTTTAAAGGCAGCTTTACATCTAGGCTATGCAAGTCCCTCTTGCATGGCACATCTCACAGATCACCTACCTCCCTCCTAGTTATTAGTGGTCTGTGGCACATCTCTTGCCTAGCTTGTCCTTTTTACATCAGAGATATTTCTGTGCAATTTTAGATCCCACTTTCATTGTTGCCAACAGAGAAAATATTTATCAATTTGAGGTTATTTTATTTTAAATAAATATAATTAAGTACTAAAATAAATATATACTATTTATGGTTATTAAAAGGGTGAAGGATGTCAACCAAAGAAAAGAAAACATTGTTATTGTTGAATATTACTGTTGTAGCAACAATCATCCATAGTCAACGACTCACCCAGTCGTGTTTACATTAACTTTAGACATAGTATATCTATTTATCACCACTTAATAAACTTAATTTAAATCAAAACACAACAATACTAAATAATTAATCTATTATAAATTCTTATGTTGGCAACATGAATTTTAACGATAAATTGCAAGAAAATAGCATGAAAAATAGAACATGTTCTAATTTTTCGTCTAGCACAGGAATTGCATGGAAATAGCCCGTGGGCATGCGCAGTTCCATGATCTGTCTTGCATGGCTCTTACCTAGCATAAAAATAGCATAATGTAAAACTGTCTTAAGTATAAGCACAGCCATCTAAAGTAACTTTAGGTGGCTGTGATATAAGTGACATTACTGGTGACATCAGTTTTTACATGATACTATGAACACAGAATAATAAACAATCAGAAGGGCCACTCTCAGATGCCGCCTTTGAAGTTTTTCAGCACGCGCGCCATGTTTTAGGAGGACACAAACATATGATTTGTGAGGTTATGCAATTGTTTACATTTATGTTTAATTATATTATATTTAAAACTGTTAATATAATTGTATAGTATGTCTATGATTGCCGTAAGTCAAATAAACCTGTTTTTTTTTTCCATGCACACCACAGAAACAACACTGGTTCCCTTTAAAATCCTCGTAAAACATGGCGGAACGTCTGCGCGAAGGAGATGCGCGTACTTAATTTTCCGTGGAGAGTGGGCATTCTGTTTGTTTATTATTCTGTGCTATGAATAACAAGATAAGATCTTCCCGTAGCTCAAATTCGGTCGGGTTCGCGCATGCCGTCATTGGAGAGTAGAATTTGAAATCTTGTTAAAGTTAAATGAGATTTGTATGCATTCTGTGATGAAATTACTAGACGAAAATAAGTTAAGAGGTTTAATGATTACAATAATTGTACACAAGGATATCTCCACACTATTTATTAAAGATTATTTATTGACATATACAAAAAAACTGACATTTCGAACGTGCAACTCTCCAATGACGTCACAAAAACGCGCAATATCTTATCTTATAGTCATAGTCACGGTTCCTAGACTTACTCTAGTAAGTCGAGTAAGTCTAGGAACCGTGGTCATAGTATCATGAGTTTTTATAAATCGTGAAGTAACATTGTTGTCATTGTTTTAGTATGAAAAATTATTCTAATCCATCGTTTTAGCATAAATAGTATAAAAATTATAGTACAGTGTGTTCCAGTCTACAGTCTTTTCAAATTTATAAAAATTGTAATTATGCGACAAAATTTTAAGTTTGGGGGATTTGAGCTTAAATTTGGGGGAATTTCAGTTTCCAAGTGGGGGATTTAAAAAATCGCATCTGGCAACTCTGTGTCAAACAAAACAGAAATCAAAGAAAGAAGAAAATAACCTTATATCTGTATATTTAAATTTTTAAGAAAATTTTAAATCATTTTGAAATTGAAGATTTCTATGATTTCTATAAAATGTTTATGTTTCGAAAATCTTTGAAGTACATAAAATTATTAAATGGAATAAGAGGTAATGATATATATTCTAAGAAAAAGTTTAGTGCAGTTCCTAATTATGAAATAGACTTAAAAGTAAACGGAACGTCTTTGAATAATTATATTAAAAAATTACAAACAGAATATGAAATTTTAAATAGAGATGCCATCAATAATAAAAGAAAAATGGAATTACAACCTATAATTCAAATATTAACTGATCGCAAGGTATTAGTAAGTAATATCTATAATTTAAAGGAGTTATTAGAAGACACAGATACGGATATAAAGAAATTAGCTGAAGAAGAGAAATTGAATTTTGAAAATCATTTAAAAGATTTAGATGATCATTTATTAAAATCATTAATACCTATTGAAAAAGAAGACCTTCATAATTCTATTATTCTTGAAGTTCAGGCTGGAGTTGGAGGCCAAGAAGCTATGCTATTTGCTAAAGAAATGTTTGATATGTACTGTAATTTTGTTGAATATAAAGGTTAGTATGTAGAAAAAAATATTTAGAGATAATAAATTAATACTAATTTTGAATGATCCATTATAGTTCCTAGGCTCAGGTCAGTGTTTAAATTTAAAAAGTGGCTACATGCCTTATTCCTGATAAAAGTTATGTTACATTTTATTGAAGTTTTGATTGTCAACAAACCAAACAGGCTATGCTGTTTTGCTAAGATATATTGATATTTTTTGTGAAAATAGTTAAATATTGTGTTTATGTGGGATTAAACTAAAATTAATTGAAATAAATTTCATCTGTGTAGACATTGTTATGTCTTACTACACTTGTACCAGTTATTTTAAATAAGGAGTTGTTATAAACTGTGAGTTATAACTAGATAGGTTATAATAACTTCTTAAACTGAGTGAACCAGAGCTGCACAGAAATCTCCTTTTTAAGGATGAAAATGCACACCTGGTTAGGACTAGTGATGGGAAGACCTGGTTCATTTCAGTGACCCAGGTCATTCATTAAAATGACCTGTTCATATGAATAATTAAATTTGTTGTGTGAAGGTCAAGTCTGTAGATTTGTATTTCCAAATCATCTTTAGATTATCATTATCATCATTAAAATATAAAAAAAAATACTTGAAAAAGTTAAGTAAAGTTACAAATTCCATATTGTTATTTTCATGAATGAATGATAATGCAACAATTAATATGGATTTTATTTCCTACAAATTTATAAACAGAGCAGACTACAGGACTAATGACTTGACAATTTGAATGTATATAATTTTACAGTTTTGCAGTGTAAGAGTTTCGCTGTTCTGGGAAACTGAAATCAGTGTTTGAACGATCTTTTGTGGTTCGCGGTTCATGCAATAATTTGACCAAGCAACATGTCGCGATCACACAGTTCTTTCGTAAACACTAGACAGCGTCATTCATAGGCATTATACATAGGGTGTATGAAATAGGGTTGTGAATGGTTCATTTATGACCTTCTCATCACTAGTTAGAACACATCCCAATGAAGTCAGTCAAGACTATGTTGGCAATATAGTGTCAAACTATTGGTTGACATCAGGAAAGATGTTTCCTGAAATAGAAGTATGATTCGCCATTCAGGATAAGGCTATACCAACACAAAATTACCTGAAATATATTCAGGTAATTTTGTGTTGGCATAGCCTATCAGTCAAAGACTCACAGGTCCTAAACAACAAGTGCTGATATGGATGGAAAGCCCAAGAATCCATCCAACATTTTACCAGCTGAGATTTCTCCAAACCGACTATCTCACATATTATCAATACATCCTTGGCAGAATGCTTGAAAACAACAACTATAAGCTATACTGAGACTGCACTGTGTTCACAAATAAACCAGTAGCTCATAATTGATCAGATCTCCTTTTAGTTAATAAACTAACATAACAAACAACACAGTGATACCTAACAAAAGTAGTCTGTGTGTTAAATACAATGAAAAGAGTGCCAAGTAAAGAGATCTTGAAATAGAAATAAAGAAACAATGGAGAATGGAAAGGACCCAGACAGTACCTATTATTCTATCTACTACTGGTGTTATTCTGAAAAACCTAGAAAACAAAACAATTTGTTCTAAGTAAATATCTGTATAAGACCATATAGAAAGCTGTACTATTCTATACACCATAGCTCAATCATTTTGATACCCTAGGTATCTGGGATGAGTGAATTTTCCTCTTGGAGGGAGTGTGAATCATCTTAAATATGGATGATAATAATAATACAAAAATATTCAGATATGGAAAATCTTCAATGGTTTGAACACACTTGACTAAATTGCTAATTTAAAAACTTATTTTTGACGCAGGCTGAGACATTTACTTAACATCATGCAATTTGTACAGTAGATAATACAACACCACTTAAACTGAGGGAACTAAAAATGCACATTAACCATCTTTCTAAGACCAAAAAATGTGCACCTGGATGGGTAAACCTCTGAAACAAAATATTCTTTACTCACCATTTAGGATCAAAAATTATCTAAAATATACTGCCAAAGACCCTCAGGTTCAAAAAAACAAATTTCGATGTGGATTCTAAGCTCAGGAAACAATCCATTTCCTGGGGGCTGCTAGGCATTTGACAGAACTGATTATAAAAAACGCCATGACTCAGTATGAATGATTATTCAGCAAGAACTATCCACAAAAATGGGTCTTCTGACTAGTTAATAAACTATGATGTATGATTCATAAATGTAATTCTGATTACAATCAACTGTAGTTTAATCCCATATAAAATAATATTTAAGTTAAACATACCACAAGAAACAGTTTTAAAATCTTTCTGTTTATCATATTCAAGTACCTTTTCTGTTCATCTTTCATGTTTGTTTTTATCACTAAGAGATATACCAACATCAGGGCTAGTATTTGTACTTCTAACAATATAATGACTAAATTGACAATACTCAGATGTCTGATGTCTAAAAGATGTCTTATAGGCTTTTTCTTGCTCTTAGAAGTGTATTTGGAAACAGTTTTAAATTACATTCCTTTTGTGGCGTCAGGTAGTAGGTAATCCATGTTCAATCAGTTTTAAGAAAACCATTTAGAAAGAAAAGCCAATTAAAAGTAAGGTATTTTACAAAAAAAATTTTTGCCAACACTTTCATAAAATTATATAATAACCCATAATAAAATTTCGGTGCGAAATTTAATAATAAAATAACAAAAATTATAATGTAATAATTTTTTTTTAATATTAATAAAATAAATATTTGGTTGAACAATATAAGATAGAACTATGTTGAATTATCTTTACTTGCTATTGTGAAAATTTAAAGTTAACACAAGCAATATTATAAAAAATAATGGCCAATTACCATTAACTTGCCTGCAAGACATCTTAAGTAGTGGAAACAATGTGTACCAAATAAGATTTTTTATGTGTAATTTTTAATACTGTATTAGAAGGTATAATTTCGCGCATTAATTACAAAATAGATGTTGTTTTCAGAATTTTTATTTTAATTTTAAGTGTGTGACGGTTAGCTCTTTTAGTCAGCAGACTCAATAAAAATCAGGTTTAAATAAAATAAAAATATATTTGGAACAAATAAATAACAAAATAAAGTTATAATCAAGACAATCAAAATCAAGTGATATTCCTACGGCTACGGTCTGGACGCACAGCTCGGCTACCCACTGTTTAATACCTGGGGAAAAAAATACAATTATTGTCATAAAATTGAAATGGTAATTACGGTGTGTTGATACACGCTTAGTGAAGAGGGAAAAGGGCAGGTCATATGAATAGAGATGGAACGGGCCGATCAACACTCGGTCCGGCGAGGAGTGGAAAGAAACTAATCAATACTGAGCCACGGAAAAGAATAGGTCTGTCTCAGATCAATACTCCAAGACCATGTACTGCCACTAGATCAACACTTTAGTAGAAGCGGTTGGCTTTCAATCAATACCCTAGGGTCAGTGGAGTTATTATCAGATCAACAGTCTGACGGAATTCGAATTCTCTCGTGCGGCGGCTGCTGTTTTATACGGTCGTCGGCCTTCCATCTCATCTAGCGCACAATGATCAAACCAAATAAACTTAAGGGCAAAACCAAAGCTTTCATTCTTAAATTCAACTTAGATAAGAAATTATAAGGTAAATACCTACCTCTAACGAAGATAATTTAAAATTATATCCAATAATTATGTTATCAGCTAAGATAATTGAATACAACCTGAAGGAGTCTTGACGGAAATTTGTTTAATTATACGGAAATTTGTTTAATTATGTACCATATAGTTAACTAAATTACTAAGAAGTAAACTAAGAACGCTAATAAACTCATAAAAGAAAGTCTTAAACTGCTCAAATATACACATAAAAAACATAAAAACGTCCTTATAAGTTGTCTGTGCAACAGATTAACTGTGTGTTATAATAAATAAGTATGCAATCAAATAAAAATTTAGTTCAATACATACAAAGAACATAAAATTTATGTAGTTAATCCAAATCGATTTAAAAATGTTTATATAACGTAACTTAATTAAGTCTCTTGTTAAATAAACTTTCTTAACGTGAAAGCACATCACTTAATTGGCTTAGAATCGAAAAATGTACTCATAATTTACATAATCTGTTAATCGGATGAATACTGATAGTGGGCTTCAACACCAGTCGAATCTTGAATAAAACGGGGCCACCAAACTAGGATTGGAAAACTTCGGTCCATACTGAGATAAGGGCATCGCCTTAACAGAGATAAAATGGGGTTTCCGTCCAAACTGAGACAAAAGAACGAGACTTATTTTAAAGTTAATTTGTCAATCGTTCTCTAAATACAAAGCATTAAGTTTTGTATTTTGAGATCGATTTCCGAAGTGGAACTCGAAAGGCAAATAAACTTATTTAAAGAAGACTTTTATTTTCAAAAAATCGATTTTTGTTTTTTTACGTAAAAATATTCCTTAGTATCATCGAAATGCTGTCCTAAAATTTTATTAAGAAATTGGAAATAGAAACGAAGTTATAGCCGTTTTTATAATGGTAAGCACCTGAGCTAAAACTCATTTGTATACAACATTGCACCCCGTTTCACCTGTGTAACCACCACTGGACAATTGCTTTCTAAAACTTGAAATCAAGCACGTGTTTTATTTTATTAAAATTTATTGAAAAATGTAAAAAAAATAACTTTTTAAAGATTTATTTATTAATTTTAAGTCTCATGAATTGAATCCAGTTGGAATTAAAAAAAAATTTATAGAGGAAGGCAGAAAAGTGTCTCTCAACTTAAAATGCAACTTTTGAAACACGCCCTCAGCAGTGGTGAAAAACAACTTCTTAAAGTGTCAAAAAACTTTTTTTTTGTTTACCTCAAAACCTGAACAATGAATAGAAAAAACTGACCATAAATAGAATAGTGTTAAAGTTTAATAAGTTATTTATTTAGTTATTTTTAAAGTTTAATAGTGTTTAAAGTTTAATAAGTATTTAAAAATTGTCTTTTTTCAAATTTAGATAGTAGAAATCCCCTTAAAGTTAAATTGTAGCTTATTCTCAACAAAAGCAGTAAATTGCATTAAGATGCCACAAGAAAATAGTTTCAGAACAGTCTTTTCAACAAATTAAGTATGTGTGTTACATTAATGTTTAAATTATAGGAGCTTAATTTGTAAATATGAGTAACTTGATTGGGTACATAGCATAATAGAGATTTTATTTTGTATACAAAACAATCAAATATAAATCTCAACATATCTCTTATTTTGATTTAAATTTTTTGTTACAGGTTGGCAATATGATATGACAGAATACGGAGACACCGACTTAGGTGGGATTCGCTATGCATCAGCCTTAGTAACTGGTCCTTCAGTGTATCGTTATTTTAAACATGAAGCAGGCGTCCATCGAGTTCAAAGAACTCCTGCCACAGAAAAAGGAGGTAGAATACATACGAGTACTATATCAGTGATAGCTTTACCCCAACCTTCTGATATTGAAGTCAATATTAATCCCAACGATTTAAAAATAGAAACAAAAAGGTCATCAGGAGCAGGTGGACAACATGTTAATAAAACTGAAAGTGCCGTTAGAATTGTACATCTTCCTACAGGAATCGCTGTGGAATGCCAAGTTGACAGATCGCAGATAAAAAACAGAAAATTAGCTATGGCCAAACTTAGTGCTATACTTTACCAAAGGCAAGTGGAAGCACAAAGCAGTCAAATTGAAGCAGCTAAAAAGAGCCAAGTAAATACCAGAAACAGAAACGAAAAAATTAGAACTTATAATTTTAATCAAGATAGGATCACCGATCATAGGCTAGGCATTAATGTACACAATTTAAAAGTATTTTTAGAAGGTGGTGAGCCTTTAGATAATTTGATACAGAAACTAGATGAACAATATTCACTATCTAATTTGTTAAACTTGGTAGAAACGGAATTATAAAAACACAAAATTAATTGCTGCCTTTTACTATACCGTGGCGGGCGTAAGTCAGTTAACGCTGTCTGACTCGGTTCAAAAATAGTGAGGACGCGTCAATGGTGCTTGCCGTACCGAATTGGTGCAATAACAGAAGGAGTGTGGCGCTTGTCGTTAGTTCAAGGTCGTCGGTCACCGAGTTCACGTCGCCATGACAGCCCAAGCCCGTGTAATGTGCACTACAGAAGAAAGAGTGTGTCTGTTGACTTCGTACCTACGTTATCATGCAGATTATCAGATAGTATTCAACGAATTCACTACTAAGTATCCAAATAGGCCTGTTCCTACAAGGCAGATGGTTTACAAGTTGCATAAGAGGTTCCAACAAAGTGGGTCGGTATTAGACGGACCGCGTAGTGGTCGCCCTTCTGTTGTAGTGACAGATGAAAATATGGAACTCGTTGCGGAAACATTTGTTGAGACGCCCAAGCAATCCACAGTTCGGGCATTGCTTCAATTAGGTATATCTCGCCGAAGTGTAAGTCACATGTTAAAGAAATTAAATTATCATTGTTATCAATTTTATAAGCAAATTCTTTGGAGTGATGAGGCGCAGTTCAAACTAAACGGATGGATTAACCGACACAATTGTGTTTACTGGGCAGATGAAAACTCTTACGAAACCATTGCACATGAGTTAAATCTTCCTGGAGTAACAGTGTGGGCTGGACTTCCCGTCGGTGGTCTAGTTGGTCCGTATTTTTTTGAGGGCAGCGTAAATTCAGAAAATTATCTTGAACTGCTTATTGATTTAAAGGGTTCTTTGGAAAATAACCCAGAGTTTGCAGATAAGAAGAGGAAGAATTGCCATGCGATTTTGCTCTGTGGGGAGTACTCAAAAACAAAGTGTTCACCACCCCATTACGTGATAATGAACATTTGAAAACAATAATTCAAGAGGAATTCGATGCAATCCGCAACAACCCAGAATTCTTTGATAAAACCAGCAACAGCGTATATAAGCGGTGTCATAGGTGCATTGAGGAAGGTGGTCTGCAGTTTGAACACAAACAGTAACTTTAAAACCATAATTACTTTAATAATTAATCATAACAATAAATTAGTTTTCTGTTTACTTTTTTTATTTGGTATGCAAATTGGTTAACTGACTTATGCCCATGTATTTTACAGGTGATCCATTAATTTTCCATTCCCAGTTTTAATTTTTATATTTTTTAGTCACTGTCTTCATCTTTCATTTCATAAAGACGTGTTAAGCGTTTACCCTTTTTTATGGTCTTTTATTTAATTAATCGCTTCTTCTTTTGCATCTCTTATTCGAATTTTAATTATGTACAATCTTTCTTACAACTTAACGCAAAATTTCGTATAGTTTTGTGTCTATAAACAATCTCTTACCGGGTAATAGTTATAATATTGATAGTTCTACAAAGAATAGAAAGTGGGTCTATTTCCTCTATCCAAAGCTGTAGTAGTAATAACTGCTAAATTTCAGGCAGAAGTGGCACCGATATAGGCTTAAAGGAGCAAAAATATTTATCCATTTGATAGCCAAGAAGCGCTAATTCTTATGGGTACACTTCAATGCAAATCCAACCAAATGGGAACTGTGTACACACTCATAACAACTCGAAAAATTGAACCTATACAGATACAAGACTAGATACAGACAGACAGACAGTCTAGATACAAGACTATGTGCACATTGAACCAAACGAGACTGTCTCGCTTGGCCAAGCTTTGAGCATGGCATCTTCTTAACAGCTTTTAAACTACACACTCTGTCAAGGAAACATGTAACTCCAAGTCATATCACAAGGTTCTTCAGTAGTATCTTTGAATATAGAGAAATATGAGGGTCAATGTTTACCGGAAATTTATTAAAAAGGTAAAACTTTTTAATAGAACAGAGAAATTAGCAAATAAAAAGACTTCTAACAACTGATTTTGATAAATTTTGTGATAACAATATATAATAAACAAAATATGCAAAATATTAAACGTCATTTTTTACTCATAAACATTATATAGGTAAAAAGAAATAATTTTACCTATTAGAAATGGGCTCATACAGGCACCATATTAAACAATGTAAAATCGCTATTACAATGACTTAACAAAAAAAGTAAAAGATCTTATCCTTTATCTCCCGATCCTACATTGTCAGCGCACCAGTCCACTATTAGTTCAGTTAATCTTCCTTTAAGAAAGGGGGAATTTTGAGTACAGAACAATATCAGTCCAATATTTAAAATGAAAATAAATCAGAAAATGTCATAAGAGAAACCGAAAATATGTTACACCATAAATACAATAAACCAAAACTTAAACATTTATCAACCATAAATACAATAAAGAACAAAAATAAATTAGACATACAAGGAAACGAAATTACAAATATTATTAAAACTAGTTTAAATAATCTTTTTGAACATGGATCATATAACTCTATGTCAATGGAACCTTAAATCGGCAAATTCAAATAAAGAAAATTTACAATATTTGTTAAATGATCATAACATCGATATAGCTTGCTTGTCCAATAAATATTTATGAAATAACACTTATGAAAGCTCTTTACCGAAATAATCTTGTATATCTCAACGATGGATCACCTACATTCATAGGAAATTATTCACAATCTCATTCTGCTATCGACCTGACAATTTGTCAGGTCGATAGCAGATAAAATAAAAGATCTTGGGTCTGATCATCTACCATGCATTACACAAATATATATAGCACCCAAAGTTAATAAATTACTATCTTATAGAAAATGGATTATTAAAAAGGCAAACTGGGATATATATTATATGGAATTTCAAGAACAATTCAATAAAACAGAAGTTGGTGATTACAATTCTTTTATAAGAATAGCTGAAAATGCAGCAAACCCCTAAATTTAAATCAAATCAATGTTCAAATAAAAATAAGCAATGTTGGAATGAAAAATGTCAATTTCTAGTACAGAAACGAAGAAACAGTTTGCATAAATATATGAACAATCCCACACTAGATAATTTGTGAGAATATAAAAGAACTGATGCTATAGCAAAAAAACCTTCAAACAAATAAAAAAAGATAGTTGGGAAAATTATTGTAAATCTCTTGGCAGATCGGTGCCTCTTAAGAATATATGGAAAAGGGTAAATAATTTTAAAAATCGAAAATATTCTAATCAAAATCAATCAGATCATAATCAATGGCTTGCTGAATTTCACAGCAATTTAACCCATCCATATGTATCCCCTGACCCAACCTTTCTTGATTGTGTAGATATAAGAGAACATAGTATTAGTTGACATTATCTCACCAACCAGTTTTCACTTCAAGAATTAGACATGGCACTCAAAAAATCTGCCAATACAGCTCCAGGTTCTGATAACATACATTATCCTATGTTGTTTAATCTTCCTATATCAGGAAAAACTGCTTCTAAATCTACTAAATGATATTTGGTTAAATAAAGTCGATATACCTTCACAATGGAAAAATTACATTTTAGTTCCCATACTTAAGCCAGGAAAACCAAAAAATCATGCATCGTCATATAGGGCTATATCTTTAGCATCATGTGTTCTAAAAACATACGAAAGAATGATAAAATCACGACTTAAATTTTTTTTTTGGAATCTAATAATCTTATTCATAGTTCTCAATTCGGATTTCAAAAAAAAAGTCGACATATGAAAACCTGGCCAATATTGTTACAGATATTCAATTATCACTCTCCAATGAACAGTCAACATTAGCTTTATTTTTAGACATAAAAGAGGCATATGACAACGTGAAATTAGACATATAAAAAAATGTGTCAAATGGAAATTCACCAGTCTATCTAAACAACTATATACTCTATACAGTAATAGAAATTTATTTTTCAGACAAAACCACTTATTCTCTCAATGTAGACAAACATCTATGTGTTTGCCACAAGGTGGTATATTAAGTCCTATACTTTAAATAATTTACTCAAGTGATCTAGTTATTGACATCCCACATATTATATCAATTTTGCAATATGCTGATGATATTGTTATTTACACTCGCGGATAGATTACGGATCTTTATTTTACCATTCAGCAGCAGAAACAAATCTTATAGAATAGATAAAATAAAAAACAAATGTCTTCGACTCAGTATTGGATACTTGGGAAGTACGCCGGTAGACGTTATGGAAACAGAAACACGTGAACCGCCACTGAATCTTCGGAGAAGATTTCTATTTGTATCATGTGTATTTGAAATTAAATAGGAAATAAACTTGTATGTTTTTATTTTTCAGTTATTACAAACACAACAAATTAAATTAAAAACAATGTATTAGGTAACAAAAATACATTTCAAGGTTGTTAATAAGTTTGTCCTCGAGTGCATAGAATATCTACGGGGCAAAAACGTTTGAAAAACACTGCTCTACATGCTATTGCTGACTAGTGTTGCTTAATTTTCCATTTTTAGCATTTGTCAACTTCACAAAGAACCTTCAGAAAAGTTTCCACACATATAACCAGCTCGTGATAGCCAAGGGGCTCTTTCTGTCATTCTGAAGCAGAATTCAACACATCTTTGACTGTTCGTTCATATAGACAGTGAGCGTGGATTATACTGCTCAGCACAAGAGAAACCGAGGTTCAGACATTTTCTCCAGTGTGAACTCTAAAATGTTTTTTCAAATGACTTGTTTGTCTAAACTGCTTAAAACAAATTTTACACTTATAAGATTTCTCGCCAGTGTGCACTCTCATATGTATTTTTAAATAAGAACCATCTCTAAACGGCTTAAAACATATTTCACACTTAAAAGGTTTTTCTTCGGTGTGCACTCTAAAATGATTTTTCAAAGAACCTGCTTGGCTGAACGACTTAAAACAAATTTCACATTTGTAAGGTTTATCCTCAGTATGGACTACCAAATGTGTTTTCAAACAACCTGCTTGGCTAAACTGTTTAAAACAAATTTCACACTTGTAAAGTTTTTCCCCGGAGTGCACTCTCATGTGTATT